GAAGGCAATGAGTAGGACTTCCCTGGCACAGGCTGTATACGCGTGGCCGTGTGAGAGTATTTCGAGAGGGAGAGCGGACTCTCCCCACTCTCGGCCGTACCAGGGCATTCAAGGGGAAATTTTAGTAATTAAATAATTGAATTCATGAGTTAATTGAAGTTAGACTATCATAGGAAACCTGGAAGCAATGGACGGTCGTTTCGTTTTATTGTGAGACTCCTCGGAAATGTGGACACACCATACTAGGATGAAATAGCCGTCCAGTGCTTCCACGTTTTCCATGGTGGTTTATCTTTAGTTGACTCATGAATTCAATATGCTATAAATGTAAGGGGACTACTACCGATACAAATCGGATACTGAAACTGAAGTAGGTAGAATGAGGCTTGAACCGGTGATATAGTGTTGAATGAAAATCAAATATCATAACCACTAAGTCATTATGCTATACGAAGGAATATTAAGTATACATGATTTATTCAGCATAAATAAATATATTGACTAAGATCATAAAAACTGTGTTATCGCAAACTTTAGAATATGTCAATCATATCATCTTCAAATTACTCTCTCTTTTTATCTCCCTCCACTTTTTCTATGAATGTTTTCATTGTTCAAATTATTCCTGTAAAACCTCAAAAATCAAACCGTTCACAATTGTTCCCTATTTTGTTGTCTTCAAATTAGCCTAGCGTTGTGATTAGTAAATGGATAGAGCATCAAGTGTTTATTGTATGAATGGTATGGAGGAGAATGAAAATCTTATTTTTGAAAATAACGCTCGAAATTCTCCTTTACACCAATGAAAACACTACACTAGATAACCTGCCAGGAATTTAACACAACTGTGATCAAGGGTACGTGAATGACCTGACTAGAACGTAGGGATATTTCAACGACAACAATCAGTCAGTCAGTCAGTCAGTCAGCTACAACGTAGGACCAGGCACATGTATGCATCGGCCCAGGTTGCCATACCTCATTAGCACAGCAAGATGAACACCGGATTCATAGGAGTGGTTAGGTCAAAGGTGGTAATATATAGGAGAAAGATTGCAATAAGGATATAGTATAGGAAGAAAGAATTAGTTCGTAGAAAGAAAGATGTGAAGTGATCTTAATCTCTTAGTTTAAGAGAAGACAGAGAGTGTATACACCGACGCCATTGTGATCGATTCTGAGCCATGTCACCAAGGGTCTCCAACCATTGGTTACGAAAGTCACGCGGACCCCAACCAAGTAGTCTGCATCTACCAACATGGCTCAGACTAGAAGTTAGTGACTTCAGGCACTGATGCCACGTTTTGGTTTGGCCGCCCCTAACTTTCTTCCAACCATCCCCTACACCGGTTAGCATTGCACGTCGTGGTAATCGGTGTTCAGGCATACGTAATACGTGGCCCAACCATCTCAGTCGATGAAGATTCATAACCTCATCAACTGATTTACCATCATTCCCTAATACCCTGCGTCTAACCTCACTATTACTTACCCGGTGATCCCAGCAGATGCCAGCAATATTTCTAAGGCATCTGTGGTCAAATACTAGTAGCTTACGGGTGTCTTCTACTCTTAAGGGCCATGTTTCGCTGCCGTAAATTAAAACAGAACGGACAGCCGCGCAGTATACTCGTCCTTTTATTGATAGACGGATATCTCGCCTCCGCCAAAGGTGACGTAAGTTGGCAAAAGCCAAACGAGCTTTACGAATCCGTGCTGAGATTTCGTCAGACACCAACCCATTAGGGCTGATCAGACTTCCAAGATAAGTGAAGTTGTCAACGCGTTCGACTACTTCACTCCCTATCCTTAGTTCAGGTGTTGACGCAGACCAGTCCTGAAGCAACAACTTGCATTTAGAGGGAGAGAAGCGCATCCCAAACATTCTGGCATTGTTGCTTAGTGCTACCAGAAGACTCTGCATTTTGTCAGCGTCTTCACCAAACAGGACTATGTCATCTGCATATTCTAAGTCGATAAGTGGACCTCCTGGAAGGAGATCAATACCCGAGAATTCAGTCGACGAGAGTGTTATTTCCATCAATAGGTCTATGATGAAGTTAAACAAAAATGGAGAAAGTGGGCAGCCTTGACGGACACCACTTGAGGTTGCAAAAGTAGATGACAGTTCGCCATAAGCCCTGACTCGACTAGTAGTGTTCGAGTAAAGAGCCTTCACAAGGTTTATGTACTTCTGAGGTACGCCTTTCAATGACAGACACTGCCACAGAGTCTCGCGGTCTACAGAGTCAAATGCTGCTTTTAAGTCAAGAAAGACCACCATCGTCGGACGCCGATAGGTATGCCTGTGTTCTAGAACCTGACGAATGGTGAATATGTGGTCGATGCAGCCACGACCAGGTCTAAAGCCAGCTTGGTTCTCTCGTGTTTGTAGTTCACGAGTCTTAGTTAGGCGTTTGATAATTATCGAGGCCAGTATTTTAGATACTATGTTTGTTAAACTAATCCCTCTGTGGTTGTCACAGGATGATTTTGACCCTTTCTTATATATTGGGACGATAAGTGATTGCGACCAGTCAGATGGGATAACGTCTAACTCCCAGATCTTAGCTAAAATATTAGTCAACCTAATCGCTAAAATTGGACCACCATCCTTAAAGACCTCTGGAGCCAATCCATCTGGACCAGCTGCCCTTCCTCGTTTCAGATTAACTATAGCCTTCTCAACTTCAGCAAGAGTTGGGGGACCTACTTCAATGTTCCATTCACTTTGTCTGGGAATGGAGGGTAGTTGTAGAGTAGCTGAAGGCCAGCTGAACTGTTCTCTAAAATGTTCCGCCCATCGTTCTAAACGTCTGGACTGGGAGCAGATGAGAGTATCATCTTTTTCCGAAATAATCTCACTTACACTTGACTTATTAGTTCCAGTTTCTTTTATTAGTCTGTAAAGCTGTCTTGTGTTCCCTATAGTCGCCGCCTTTTCCATCTCTTTTGCTTTCGTTACCCACCACTGCTCACGGTCGTTCCTTAGACTTTTTCTTAACCTAGATCTGATTTGTTTACGCTCTTCATCATGTTCAGAACCTGATGGGACGAGTTTGCGAGAATCCATCAGTGTGACAGACCTTGAAGAAATCCACTGGTTCCTTGTAACTCTGTGGTTTAAGTCACTAATAGATGTCACTGCTGTTTCCACAGCTGATTGTATGCCCTTCCAAGCAACATCTGGGTCAGCCTCGTCTTCACAACTACCTAAGTGTGACCTCAGTTGTTCCTGGAACCTACTTTTGGTTTTCTCGTTACTCAACTCAGTTCTAACGGGTCTTTTTAATGTGGCTTTTTTGCGTCCAGTGAGGCGCAAGCAGATGCGTGCCCGTATTAGGGCATGGTCGGAGTCCAAGCAGGTACTCCAGAATGAGCGACAATCTTCTACCGACCCTCTCCAACGATGACTGATGGCAATATGGTCTATTTGAGTCCATCGTTGGTTTGGTGTAGGGGGTCGCCATGTTAGACGATGTCTCTCCTTATGCTTAAAATTTGTGTTTGCTAAAAATAAACGATTGTCTGAGCATAGCTGCAGCAGACGATCACCATTATCTGTTCGCTGTGTCGGAATACTAAAATATCCACCTAAATGCCTTTCTGTTTGGTTTAAACTGCCTATCTGAGCATTAAAATCACCTGCTACGAGTACTATGTCTGAGCGTTTAGCTTTCTGAAGAAGTTCGGACAGCTTTCTGTAAAATTCATCTTTCACTTCATCTGAGCTGCAGTCAGTGGGAGCGTAGGCAGAAACGACAAAAAGGCAACGACGTGTGTCCCTATCCTTCCGAGTTCTTACGTAGCCGTTCAGCCGAACAGCACATAGACGACTGTTGACGGGGATCCACTCTAGCAGTGCTTGTTCGGCCCTCATGCTTAGTGCTATGCCTACACCTGCCAGTCCACGAGAACTTGCCATCGGGTCACCAGACACACGAAGGGTGTATCTCGTTGGCTCTCCGTCTTGCCGAGGTGAGGTCAAGTGAATGACCACACTGGAATCCTGTATGCGTGTTTCGGAGACACAGCATACATCAATGGAAAGAGACTCTAGGGTTTTAGCCAAGGAAGCCTGCTGACCGATTTGACATAGGGTGCGTACGTTGAAGGCTCCAATGTGTAGTTTGGAGCGAGGTTTCAGTAGACCTGGGACAGTGTTTTGCGCACTAGAATCGTTGGCTACGGTGACACTTGAGGTGGAAGCCGAGAGAGGAAATATAGAGTTGAAAGTCGATGTAGGAGGAATAATAGGAATTGAAGAGGAGGTTGATTATGAATACAGTGGTCTTGAGTGCTGTTAGAAGTATGAGGGCGGTTATCACTTCCCGGTTGCCCACACCGTGGAAGGGTTGTTCTGGAGGTACCTGAAAAGGAAATTGGATTAGAAGTGGTCTTAGTGACCTGAGAGCGTGACCGCAGTGCCCAAGGGACAACTGCTTGAGGTCGGTCACACACGACCTTGTTATGGGTAATTTTTGTGTTAGCTCCGTACTTATTGAGACCTTACCGCCGGAGACGGATATCCGTGGGATAAGGCGAGGTGTGCATTTTTAGGGTCGACCTTTTCTAACCCCACCCCTCCTTGTGGGAAGGCAGCATCGCTGTCATGCTGGTTGTCTGAAGGAAACACCTTACTGCTGTCACACCTCTGTACAGTCAGCAGTACGACTTCGCCTTCGGACCTTGGGTTTGTTGCTTTTAGTCTTACCGCTCTTCAACCGACCTGTCTGACATGGTAGGACCTTGAGGAACGGTTGTTCCAGCCAGTATAGCTCGGTTGCTTCATCACGATAGGCAAGCCCGACCACCACGTCAAGGTAGCAACAACGGTCGGGCAACGACAACAATTGACAATAATATATACTAATGACGGGTAGAAAAAAAAACACATCTAATATTTGTCATACTATCATCTACTAATCTGACTAGGTAACTAATTAATCAACTTTTAAGAAAATAAAACTATCCTTACATCACATTTAACACTTACTAATTTAAAGAGATTCCATGTAATATTGGTGCAACATCTTGACAAATAGATTTTTCAATTGTATCATTGCATCATGTGGTAAACTAGTTTCAAGTGGAATTGACAAAATAGGTTTTGTTGCAGTTAATGAAGATAATCCAGTTGTAGTGAATGTTGATACATTCGATGCTATATAATTACATACAACCAGAACAAGAGATGTTAAATTGACAATAATGGTTAATTGATTGCCTAAATCTATAAGACGATATTGATCCATGAGCATTGTCTTTGTAGAGGAGGAAAAAAGAAAACGATAGAAAGACTGAAAAAAAAGAATTTAATTCATATGTTGGTAAGTAATTCAATTTGTACTATATCCTTATATGCAATCTTCCTTTTATATATTACCACTATTAAATTCACTACTTCTATGAATCCCGTGTTCATCTTGCTGTGCTCAGCCAGTCAGTCAGTAACAACGTAGAACTTCACACGTACGTACATCAGTTAGAGTTGCCACACCACGTTAGCACAGAGATGTAGTTGTCCATTCAAATCTCATAGTGATAGAGGTAGTAAAAGTATAAGCAGTAATCAGAAAGATTAGGGTTTGAACATGTTATTCAAGGAGTATAATCCAATCAAATAAATTTGGAAAGAGGAGAAAAGGGATATGAACAATTCAGAAGATTAGAAATTGGCAGAACACAAAGAGTGGATGCACCTGTGCCATTGCAAATGATTTTGAGCCATGTCATTCAAAGTCTCTTTATTATTATTTTATTTTTTTGTTTATTTTAACACATAGATATTGGTACAAAGAGGCACCAAATACATATGCGCCACACAAATCTCATTTGATGTGTGAGGGCTGTGATACTGCCCGGGTGCCGGATCCCAACCAGGGAGTCTACATCTACCAACATGGCTCAGTCCACTTGTCAGTGACTTTATAGATTTGTGACATGCTTTGATCTGGCCACCCCTACCTTTTTCCCAACGTACTCCTAGACCATAAATCCTCGCTCGTCGGGGCAGTCGGTGGTTAGGCAAACGTAACACATGTCCCAGCCATCTCAACTGATGAAGTTTCACTACTTCATCAATTGATTCGCCATCCTTACCTAGTAACCGTTTCCTAATGAGATATGACAACTTGAACCGATGTACATATGTGCCTGGTCCTACGTTGTAGCTGACTGAGATTTGTACAAGAGAACTGTTTAGGTAATTCCATTAGTATGGAAATTTAGTATAGAAAATTATGTATGGGAAAGTGATTAGTAAATTAGGAAATATTTAGACAAACTATATCTGATTAGATAGTTTAATCTAAGTAACTATAAACAAGAGTTCATTTGAAAGTGACCTCGTAAATTCTACAGTTTATAATATTCTGATCAGATTAGTGAAGTTTAACGATAAATGTATGTAATATTTAACTACTTATAATACTTTGTGATACACTTAACTAGATAGTTCAATCTTCAAAGAAGAGCCTATACAGTTTGTGAAAAAAGCTAACATTGTACAAGTCTGTTTTCTGTTTCCAAACTACTGGCTTCCAACAGACTTCACAGGTTGCACAAAACCCGTAAGAAGTGAACCTGCTAGGAGCAGGACAGTTTCAGTTCAAGTCGTGGATTTATTTATCAGATTTCCACTCTCCATAGTGTTAGAGCAATTATTGTAGGCCAACAACTGTTGTATTGCATTGTACCAGTTTCGCCTCCCATTTGTTGAACAAGGCTTTGCTTTAAGATTATCCGTTAAATAAGGTCACTAATAAGAAATCTATTAACATATAAGAGGCTCTGTACACAAGTACAGACAGAGCGAAGGCATACATCAATCTCCTTCCAATGTCCTATTACATCAATGGAGTCCCAGTTTCACCAATCCTCTTCAATTTTGCTATTGATGACATTCTGGGACACAGCTTTTAAGGAAGTAGGTAGTATGGATCCATTAACAGGAAAGACTTTTCGACATTTAACATGTAGACGACATTATCTTACTGTGTGATGATACACAACCAATTCAAACTAGTGTCCATAAGTACAAAACAAACTTTGCACTTTCTAAATGCAAAGTAATTTGGTAAGAATAACAGCAATCTGGAGTCGGAAATTCAATACATCTGGAAAAGTGTGTGAATCCAAGTGATGTGACAGATGAAATCAATTTATGTATGATAGAAATCATAATGGCTTACGGGGATCTGGATCGCTTTTGGCACTATTGTAAAAATTTGAGTTTACAAAAGATCGGTGAGAGCATTTCTGATACATCTGATCTGAAGACGTTCGGAAAATACTTGCACTTGATCGTGGTCTTCGAAGGATCGCTAGGATCTGGTGGTAACGCTATCTTAACAACGCTACGGTTTGACAATGTGTATTTGGGTTTAGTGGTTATAATTCAATCAGTGTCACCACCTTGGAACACAAACTTTCAGGGGCTTGAAATTGTGTTATGAATGTCATCACAGCATTTTCCACATCGCGTATGATTTTTGCTACGCTGAGACTAAATGGAATACGTGGGAGAGTTCAATTGATGGCACGGGATCATGATGCAAAAAATATCTGTATATGACCGGCATCTGTTGATCCATTAAGATTCTTTAGTTGAAGCCGTAGAGATGGTGTATAATTCAGTGGTTCGAGGTGTTACTGGATATGACTTAAAAGAGAATTCAATTGCGATGTTGCTGTGTTTTTAAGATATCAACAAAGGAACTTGCCCTAGAAGTAAATAACTGTTAAGGGTTATTTTTCTGTAAACAAATTTTTTAGGGTATGATATGTAATGTACCCATTGACCTTTGGTATTTAGTTAAAAGGAAATCAATTCAAAGATACTTGTGTTATTTACTGAAAATTAAGTATGATAATGTTGAAAAACATACATACACTCAAAATTTACCTCAGGCCAATCACGATCACGTGGCCATGTCAGTAACCTTAAGTAAGCTTCACGTAGTATATTATTCGGTGTCAATGGGATAGTATCATTACTTGTGGTAGAACAACTATCTGAAGTGTTTTTAAGATCCACTGGAGTGTTCTTATTATTAGTGCTGATATTATTGGATGCATTGGGGCACTCATGATTAATTGGTTGATGTGATACATGAAGAAGATTATCATGTGCTTGTTTAATCCAATCACGTGTATGAGCTAATCCATCAATACCAAGTTCTAAGTATAATATAAAAAATCGAAGAAATTGGAAATAGTGATAGGAAGGGACGAGTTATAAGACTAAAACAAAAATTTAATTCGTGATTTCACTAGAATTCAACAATCATTACGATGCTATAATAATATTAATCATCATGTGTTCACCAGTGGCTAGCTTTGAGAGGAATTCTCCAAATTTTTATTGAAAGAGCGTAACCAGTGAAACTGAACGGCGTTGGGTGTGAGGAAGTTACCCACCGAAGAAAAAAGATGATTGCTCAATATCATGGATTGATAGGAGTTAGACATTTACACCATCCGATACTGGCTTAGTGGTCTAGAGGTTCAGTGCTACCATGTAAGATCGAAGGTATTCGATTTGGTTTCCAGCTGTGAGGTCATGGATGAGTACTGCCTAAGAGTTCCATACTGGGATGAAACAACCACCCACTGCTTCCGAGTTTCAAATGCTTGTCTAACTTAGGTCAGTTCGTGACGTCAATAGAAAATTCTTAGAATTTAAAGTATTACAGTGACACTGGGATAATACTGATAACATAGACAGCCCTATCACACAGTAAAACATTCTATGTACAATCTATATACTGTTTGGTATGTACGTATGTGCAACTTTTCGATGTTTATTACCAAACCTACGCCGTTGAATATAAGTATAGTGACCCGTTTAAGAGATATTCAGACATTTATGAATTTAAGTAGAGTTGAAATTGCCTAAAATTTAAGAAGAAAAACGCCTATATTTTATTTACTGTATAAAATACTCTCAAATTGGAACTGTCTGATCATTAGTAAACATTAAGAGAATCACACGCATTTCTGCGAAAAACCTGAATGTGAAAAAGAGAGAAGAGTGAAATCTGTAAGCTAGCTTCTGTTTCAAGAAGTGGTAACAAAAAGAAGAGTGAATCTCACTGTATATTATATAATTTACATAACTCTGAGAGAGAGAGAGAGTAACCAATGAGAAGATAAATCGTTTATAAGTAACATTTTATGCCACGCTTAGAGTTTAGACACCATAATATTATTGCTAAAATGTATTCTTAGATGATTATAAACACTAGAAAACACTTTAGTAGAAGTGAGAAAATGTATTTCTTATTCAAGAGATTGAATATTCAAGATACATTATTCTTTGATTCAATGCTTTGATTGGTTAAATGTCTGAATTACACATAACACATTGTACTGTTATTAGTGAAATTTTTACAAAAGGATGAGATGACTGCTTTTTTTGGCTTAAATAATAATTATAACTGATCATCTATATCGTACATTTCAATAAGTTCGATAGTAGCTTAATAATAGCTAAGACACCTAATTCGTAATTTATGATTAGGTTATTGGTTAGAAATCTACTTTCTACTTAATTGTAAATTACCACAAACAAACACACTTAGATTGTTTGCTTGAGGACAAGGACAAGATTCTATACTTAATAAATAGATTAAGGATGAATTTTCGGAAGTACTTTTCGTATCTTAGTGAACACTTTACAGTTGATTAGTTACATAATTCTTAACAAAACCAAATGATAAAAAATACAGTAAATGATCATACTTACATAACCAATATATATATATATATATATATATATATATATATATATACAAAGATGGAAAGTGGCTAGCAGTGGAATCCAGTTTGACACGCGTTTCTTCCGATTTCGGACTCGTCAACTGGATGTACCTGCATCTCAAAGTTAATGTTCACTCTGGGACACGAACTCAGTACCGTTCACTTCAAACGCCATTGCATTATCCACTTAGCTACTGAGTTTTGATAGTCACTTGACGAGACGCGCGTTCTGGATTTTATTGGTAACCAATATTCATCTTTCCTTATAATGCTTGTGAATTAAGACAATATCGAGGTAATCTGTACAGTATGCACATATGCCAATAGGAGTCATTCAGCTACAACGTAGGATCACGCACATATATATATCGGTCCAAGTTGCCATACCTCTTCAACACAACAAGATGGACATCGGATTCATATAAGCAGTTGATTCACAGGTGGTAATATATAAAAGAAAGATTGCAATAAGGATATAGTATAGGAAGAAAGAATTAGTTCGTAGAAAGAAAGATATTAAGTGCTTTTAATGTCTTAGTTTAAGAGAAGACAGAGAGTGTATACACCGACGCCATTGTGGTCGATTCTGAGTCATCTCACCCATAGTCTCCAACCATTGGTTACGAAAGTCACGCGGACCCCAACCAAGTAGTCTGCATCTACCAACATGGCTCAAACTGGAGGTTAGTGACTTCAAGCACTGATGCCACGTTTTGGTTTGGCCGCCCCTAACTTTCTCCCAACAATCCCGAACACCGGTCAGCATTGCACGTCGTGGTAATCGGTGTTCGGGCATACGTAACACGTGGCCGAACCATCTCAGTCGATGAAGATTAACAACCTCATCAATTGATTTACCATCATTCCCTAATACCCTGCGTCTAACCTCACCATTACTTACCCGGTGATCCCAGCAGACGCCAGCAATATTTCTAAGGCATCTGTGGTCAAATACTAGTAGTTTACGAGTATCTTCAACTCTTAATGCCCATGTTTCGCTGCCGTAAATTAAAACAGAACGGACTGCCGCGCAGTATACTCGTCCTTTTATTGATAGATGGATATCTCGCCTTCGCCATAGGTGACGTAAGTTGGCAAAAGCCAAACAAGCTTTTCGAATCTCTGCTGAGATTTCGTCAGACACCAACCCATTAAGGCTGATGTGCCAATAAGAGAGACTAATCAAGTGCAATCCTAAACATCAAATAAGGAGATTCAAACAAACAATACCAAGTGAATATATATAATTTTCATTTACTTTGTTGAGCTTCTAAAAATGTAGCAAATTTTGTTCGTTCATAAGTAACAGCCTGTTGACGAATATATGGTCTCATTTGTTTAATTGTAAAATTAGCCAAATCCCATATGCATTTTATCCAGTAGAATAAAGACATTTCTAATTTTCAAAAAGAGAGAAAATAAACATAGACATAAATGGAAATAAACTTTAGAACATGTCGACTTTCTCTTCATTAATGACATTGTAGAAAATCCTTTCTTTAAAAATACCACTTTGACATTTCATTGGTCAATCTTCTACCATGAGAATTAATTTGTGACTTAAATTACGCAGATAACATAGTCTTGTTTGGTGAAGATGGTAACAGAGTGTAAAATATATGATCCATTTTAAACAACAAAAACAAATGGAAGGATGTTTATGATGTGATTCCTTCCATCCAAATTTGAAATGTTGCTTTAACATGAGTTTGCATTAACGCTTAAACTAAGATTGGGGTGTGAAGAAGTTAATTGCGTCGATAGCTTCATTCAAAATTTTCATTAGCCTTGATTTGTTACTGTCTGGTAAAATTTTGGTATAGATTGATAAAGCTTGATTGGAGTTTGTTAACTTGTGTCAGTTGTTACGTAGTAATATACATACGTCTATCAACCAAAGGATGAGATTATTGTGCAACAGATTGTTTTGTTCTACTTTATAGCTGCAAAATATGATCAATAAGAATACAGGACATTCGTAGGTTACTATTATTAGGTCATACGTGCGTTCAAACCATTGAACGTGTTTTATTTGGAACAACTGAAAGGTGCTGAGGTTGGGCATACGGTACTAGGTAAGGATAATAAATCGGTTAATGACGTAATGAATGTTCATCAAGTGAGGTGGTTGAGATATGCATTACGCATATCCGACCATCATCTACCTCAACAGGCGATCTTTTCTGGTGTACCGGTAGACTGCAGTTAGTCTCACCCATAGTCTCCAACCATTGGTTACGATAGTCACGCGGACCCCAACCAAGTAGTCTGCATCTACCAACATGGCTAAGACTAGAACTTAGTGAATTCAAGCAGTAATGCCACGTTTTGGTTTGGCTGCCCAATAAACCAGTGTGAGAAATTATGTTTAGGATTTAAAGTTGGACGTTAGGTTTAAGGATTATATTTAATGTTTTCATCATGAACTAACATCAGTTATAATGCCAAAATGGTATTTAGCTAGATGAATTTCGTGCCAAAGTCCAACATCTACTATCTCAAATCTGATTGGTTTATCCATAAATTATAATCTGGCCAGATTTATTTTGTATAATTAAAAATAATTTCTATCATATTTAACTAATACAATCAAACTTGATGTACATTTAACGTAGATTGATCACTTCAAACTGTTGAAGATGTTCAGTACCCAACGGTTCATTCAAAGAAAAAAATCAGAAAGCTAAAATAAGAATCTATACCTGATTGGTAGTAATCAGGCGATAATAGAACAGTAATCTTAAATGATGTCAATAGTAGAAGTGGCAATCTGTTCATGAAGTAGAAACATCATTTATATAAAAATTTTTAAAAAAAACAGATGGTGCATATTAAAAGTATTCGTCTTATTGATCCCATCAGAGAAGATGACCTACAAGGAATAAGTCAATAAGTATTTTCACCAATCTTTGGTCACCGGCTACCATGGGATTGCATCTCCTTACGATGCTCCACTGCCTTGTGGGTTAGACCTTTAGGTCAAAGGCTCGGGAAGTGGCCCCCTAAGATAACCACCTGCTTCGGTTTGGGCACCCGGGCAGTATCACAGCCCACACACAAATGATGAACTCTATGTCTATGGAAACTACTTTTCTCGCTCCGAAAAACAATCAATCGATTCAAATAATTATCATTACTATTATTGTCATTATTAATACTATTATTATTACTATTAATGTCATTATTATTATTATTATTATTATTATTATTATTATTATTATTTTCCACATTATTCACCCTCTTTTATACTTATACAGCGGCTCGTCTTTGGTGGAAATTCGACTGTATCTAAACGTTCTCGAGTCACTGTCCGGTTGAAAATTGTATGTTACCACCGAATACGAGTACTGAAGCAGTTTTTCTGAAACCACGTGCACCATTCAAACTGGCTGCCTTCAACGTTCGCACACTTATGCAGGTCGGACAACAGATAGGGCTGGCTATGTCTTTGGAAAGTCTTAATATCGATGTTTGTTGTCTATCCGAGACCCGTATTCAAGACTCTGGCGAAGTACTACAAATTCGATCTCCATCTGTCGCTTCGAAAAGCTTGTTTTACGTGCGCTTATCCGGGGACCCTGTGGCATCTTCGTCTGGTCTTGCTGGCGTTGGTGTCGCACTAAGCGCTAGAGCTGAGGCAGCACTAGTCGATTGGATCCCCATTAACAGTCGGTTATGTGCTGTTAGATTAGAAAGTTCCATCAAAGTGAGAAGAAATCGGCGTGAGAAACGATGTCTTTTCGTCATCTCCGCCTATGCCCCGACAGATTGCAGCCCGGATGCAATCAAGGATGAGTTTTACCACCAGTTATCTGTTCTTCTCCAGAAAGTGCGTTCGACAGATATTGTAGTACTAGCCGGAGACTTGAATGCTCAGGTCGGGCGTCTAGGCACAGAAGAGAGTCGTTTAGGTGGCCGATGGGGACTCGTTGGTCGCAGGTCAGATAACGGGGACCGTCTACTGCAACTTGCACAGACCACAACCTGTTTCTGGCTAGCACTAACTTTCGGCACAGTCATCGCCGATGTGCCACCTGGCGTCCTCCCTCTGCATCTCAAGCCTGGACTCAGATTGATCACATCGCGATCAGCTACCGCTGGCGTGGTTGTGTAAAAGACTGCCGCTCCTTTTGGAGTACCTATCTGGACTCTGACCATGCCTTGGTCTGCGCCAATCTTGCCTTACTTTTCAGTGGACAACGAAGTGACCATCACCAAAAGATTGATGTTAGCAAGCTGGTTGCAACTTCTGTTGCAAGTAAGTATCGAACCGAGCTAGCCTCTAGGCTAGCTACCACTCCACCGAAAAGTATAGATGAGCATTGGTTGCAATTGCATGACGCCATGAAAATGGCGGGAACAGTCAGTTGTGGGTTTGCGAAACGTCCCGCTTTTAAGCACTGGGTTTCTTCTGGTTCCTTACAACTCATTGAAGCCCGTCGGTCTACTCCGGGTGACCGTGAGTTTGACCATAAACGAAGGATGTTACGTAAGGAAATTGGGCAAAGCTTGCGTAAGGACCGAGAAGCCTGGTGGTCGATGCGTGCTAATGAGCTGGAAGCAGCAGCTGCATCTGGTAACTACCGGAAGCTCTTCCAGCTCATCCGAGCCACTGGCAGCAAGAAGTCTGGTGTGAGTGAAACAATCTGCGAGGATGATGGGATGCCAATCACTAACATCCATCGACGTCTTGGACGATGGGCAGAATTTTTCGAAGGGCAGTTCAACTGGGCCATCTATGGCGCCTTCGTGATGTTAGTCTGGCTGTAAAAGGTCGGATCTACAACGCGTCGGTGAGAGCAGTTTTGCTCTATGCTTGTGAAACCTGGTCTCTCCGAGTTGAGGACGTTGCCACTGAATGTCAGCAATGCAGAGGCTCGGCATCGTGTGTTCGGGCACAGAGATGATAATTCAATTGGTGTTACCATCTTGAAACACCGACTTCGGTGGCTTGGACATGTTCTCCGAATGTCGCCGCAGAGAATTCCACGTCGTGCATTATTTGCCGACTCTGGAACTGGTTGGAGAAAGCGGAGAGGTGGTTAGTGCATGACATGGTGTCGTGGCATGAAAGAAAGCTGCAAAGGACTGGCTTGGGTTGGTCCTTCACGACTCCCTGGTTGGGGTCTGAGAGATGGTGCTACACAGTGGCTAGAGACGTTATCAGATATGGCTCAGAATAGAAGCCAGTGGCGATCCTGCTGTAACCTTCTTTTACTTTCTTCATAAAAGTGGTTGTGTCTCCCTTACCTGAAAGATTTCTTCTGATTGTACCTTTGCGTTCCCTGATTACTAGCACATTACCTTACATCAATCTCTTCGTTATTGTTCTCTTTTTTTTGTTGCGCTCCTTAGCTTTTTTTTCTCTCTTTGTATTCCTCTCGAATTTTCATTGTTTTGTGTGGCGCATATATATTGGCGCTCTCTTGTACCAATATTCATGTGTCCAAATAAATAAATAAATAAATTTTCACTAGGTGCTTGCATATGCGTTAAACTCGAATTATGTGAGCTAATGATACTTCCCGGTCGTCAAAACTGAAGTATGGGGACTTAAATGTCATTTTTATTCATTTGACTTTATATTAAATCAGTGAAACTTTCGTATAGAAGAACTCGGTGGCCAAACATAAGGTGTAGATAAGAAACGGATTAGTCCTCTACTGTACCCAGTTCAAACATAACCCACCATACATATAATAATATACTTGTAATACTTGACCACTAATGAAGCGAATATGAAATTACACTTAAAACACAATTGTACTATAAGTGGTAGAAGGCGGGGAAAACAGTACATAATTAATTAGCAATAATACAACATATAGCAGCTGTCAACAAGCTCATTAAAAACTTTTTATCTATTTAAACACATAAATATTGGTACAAAGGAGCACCAAATAGATATGCGCCACAAAAGTCACTTGATTTGAGTGTGGGCTTTGATACTTCCCGGGTGCCCAGAGCGAAGGTAGTTTTCCTATGGCGCCACATCCGGAGCCTTCGACCTAAAGGTCTGATCCAAAAGGCAGTGGAGCAACGTTAGGAGATGCAGTCCCATGGTAGTCGGTGACCGATAATTGGTTCAGATACCATCTGTTCCCTCAGGATACTGGAGCCTATGTGCACCATTGGTATGGAATTAGAGTTTTCCAACTCCCCTAGGTGGATCCTCCATACCCACCAACCCGATTAAAACGCCAGACACTCGCTTTTCGTCCTCTCAATTTCATAGACAACACCCTAACCGCGAGAAAGCAGTGAGTAGAACTTCCCTAGCAGTGGCTGTATTTGCGTGGCCATGTGAGAGCGTTTTGAGAGGGAGAGCTAACTCTCCCCACCCTCGGCCGTACTAGGGAATTTGGGGGCTTACAATAAGTGGAACATGAAGATGCAACAATAAAGATATAAATAATAATAATAATAATCCGGAAGAGAACACCAACTGTTTAAACTTTTCTAATATTCATCCAGTTATAATTGATCAATTGTTAATATAATTTAGATCTAAATAGTTTTTATCCAATATTTAAAGTAAATGATATATTAATAATAATGATAAAGCTTACTTGAATGCATCAATTGGATCATCGATTTTTCTTAAATCTTCAACTTCTTGATCACGTATTGGAGCACAAAATTGTTTCATTAAATTAATTACTTCATTTTTATAAATTTCTAAACTTAAATAACCAGTTTCTTCTAATTGAGATTTAGCTATATCCATATCCAAAAGATTTTCAATAAGTGTTTTCAATGTTGTTTGATTAGGCAAAACTAAACTTTGTAATGACTAAAATAAGTAATAAAAAAATACTAAATAATTTGGATAGGAAAAAGAATTCAAGAGTATTAGAACTAGTAACAGTACCATTACCAGTAAAAATTATGGTAAAATTTCGGGACCCAGGATTTAAGAAATGACAAAGAATTAAAGGATCTGAGCCACTTCAAACGATTCTGAGACATGTCATCCAAATTATCTAACCATTGATTACGATGATTGGGTAGACTTTAACGAAGCAGTTTTCATCCACCTATATGGATCAGTCAAATTGTCAATGACTTCGCGAATTGACTCCATATTATGGTTTGTCTGTCCATAGTTTTCTTCCGGTCTACCAGTACAGTCGGTCAGTATCAACGTAGAACTTCACACGTACGTACATCAGTTCGAGTTGCCACACCACGTTAGCACAGAGATGTAGTTGTCCATTCAAATCCCATAGTGATAGAGGTAGTAAAAGTATAAGCAGTAATCAGAAAGATTAGGGTTTGAACATGTTATTCAAGGAGTATAATCCAATCAAATAAATTTGGAAAGAGGAGAAAAGGGATATGAACAATTCAGAAGATTAGAAATTGGCAGAACACAAAGAGTGGATGCACCTGTGCCATTGCAAATGATTTTGAGCCATGTCATTCAAAGTCTCTTTATTATTATTTTATTTTTTTGTTTATTTTAACACATAGATATTGGTACAAAGAGGCACCAAATACATATGCGCCACACAAATCTCATTTGATGTGTGAGGGCTGTGATACTGCCCGGGTGCCGGATCCCAACCAGGGAGTCTACATCTAACAACATGGCTCAGTCCACTTGTCAGTGACTTTATAGATTTGTGACATGCTTTGATCTGGCCGCCCGTACCTTTTTCCCAACGTACTCCTAGACCATAAATCCTCGCTCGTCGGGGCAGTCGGTGGTTAGGCAAACGTAACACATGTCTCAGCCATCTCAACTGATGAAGTTTCACTACTTCATCAATTAATTTGCCATCCTTAACTAGTACCCGTTTCCTAACAACTGCATTACTTACTCGGTGGTCCCAGGATATACGAGCAATTTTTCGAAGACACCTATGATGGATTGTCAGCTTAATCATATATCAGCCTACTTACGAGATATGATGGCTAACATTGGTTGGAAAGAACAGCTTGAAAGGAATTAGGTACAAGGCTTATAGAAGATATTGTGAGTAGAATTATACTTGAAATAATCTTAGTGATTGAAGTTCAAATAACCACAGCGTTTGTTTTGCAAACTGGTCCAAACTGCCTCAGGGCAGTAATATAAGGAAGCTCGGACCAGGTCCTGTGGATAAGACGTTGCGATTATTTGACTTTCAATCATCGAAATTATTTTAAAGATATCTTTAATTTAATTTAGTTGTATGCTGATTACTGAATAAGGATTTTTGGACACAGAATAGCAAGGGTGGTAAACTGATTGCCAACTTTTATCAACTGAAATGACTGAGACATGGCGCACATGAATTTACCCTCTCATTTTTTCTCAACTCTGAACATACTTTTGATTGTGTACTTTCATTTCTCTCTACTATCAGTAGTATAACTTATACTTCGCCAATTTACCTCCCGTTAATTTCCTTTCGTTGTGATGTGGCAACTAGGAATTGATAGACATATATATGAGGACTTATATCCGTCTGTGAAAGCAACTTATAGTTTATGTCTATTAAAATGGAGAATTACATTTAAACACTTTAAGAAAGATACAATCAAGCTCAATTAGTATCTTAATTTCTTCCTCAGTTTATTAGTCAAAACAATTTTATGCGTACACTTTAAGTCGAAAATACAGTGTATTAAGTCTGTTTATGTCATTTGACTATAGAAACTAAATAATATGTTGAATAATTTCAATCTGCAACTTTATAATAAAACACTGAATATCATTGGTGTTGAAATATATATTGAATTGTACTAATACTAGAAAGTAGATAACCAAATAAATCACATACCTGTTTAACTTCTTCCAGTAAGCGTAAAGCTGGTTCATAGTCTGGAGGATCACAATCTAAACTAGATCGTAAAATATCCCAAAATGCTCTATGCATTGTTTCTTTAATACAATATTCCAAACTTGACAACAACAAAAAACACATTTGTAAAAACTGATAAAAACAAGTATAGTAATATCACAGAATGTTGAAAGCATAACATAGCACTAATTAATCGTGAACTTAGAATAAGAAACATTTTCGGAATATTTATGAAATATAGTTGTATGTTAAAAATATCAGCATGATAAGTAAGAATGTCGTTGCAACAATATACCTCAAACCTCTGAAATTAAACGTTAAATTACTGAGACTAGAGCTGCACAAGTTCGGTTTATTACGTAGGCCTATAAACGACTAGCTTCCGGTGAACACTCTCTGTCTTCAACTATACAGAGAAAAATGTCTAGACCTTGAACACCTTTTTTACGTATTTATTTTAGATGAACTGAGTTTCTAAATTCTTTGTCATTCTCTTTTAGACTACTCTACTGTTACATTTTAAATCAATAGACCAGGTTGAAGTGGTGCACTATTTTTGTCGTGTCCAGAAGTCAAAACATTAAATTAACCAAGTAAAGTAATGGGCAGGTATTGAAAATATTTAACATATAATAATTGGATCGTTGGTTTGAAGACCGCTTCGAATGATTTGGTTTGGTCAGTCGGTCACTGGTACTAGTATTTGTAAAGTTTGATTAACAGCTAAATAGGTGAACCTGAAGTGAATTAACCAAAAATTACATTGATCACAAAAACAGAAGATTCAAAAACTCACAATACATTGATGTGCTCTATAGTACAATGGATTAATGTGGTCAGATAGTTGAAACAGGATCTAGGTAGTTTAAAAATTCTTCTGTTATGTGGAATTTGGATTAGGCTTGATAAAGTTCTTGAATAAAGAGTCGAATGAAAAAATCAAACTCAAATATACTGTTTATATGCTAGAGATCACTTGAGATCGCATACTGTTTCTCCTCATTCTATAGTTGGGTACCATACAACACTTTTGCAACAACAAAAAAGAATACTGAGAGGCGAGTCATAAAATAATAAGAGTTGCTATACACTGAAGCTTCTAACTATTGAACAAGAATTTAATTATAGAAGAGTTGGTCTATCTGAAGCATTCCCTCTATATTTTAAGCTTAATCTTGAGAAGATTAAAGTGTACGTACTACTTGAGTCTCAGAAAAGACAGCAACAACTTTATTAACCACTGATCATCAATAGTTGCTTAATTACCAACTTTTGACAAGATCATCTTTGAAATGAAACAACTCTCAATAATCAATCATAACACATACCTTTTTTCTTGTGGTTCATATTTTTCCAGTCTAAACTCAGAATCCACAGTTATTTCATGTGCTAAAGACATATTATAGAATGCTTTAGCTGCTTCCGCAAGTTGATTCATTGACACAAACTTTGGAGGTGAAGCTAACAAGAAAAGTAATAAGTAATTTCAAGCAGATACTTAAGTGGAATATATATAGCACTTCAACTATTTAATGAAATATGCCTATCACTCTTCTCTAAACATAAATTGAAAACATGACTTGAATGTCAGAAAAGTACTTCACTTTAAAGTCACACATAATTGAACTAATTGATTTTTTCTTGAATTATAAAACAACAGTTTATCTTCAATAGATTGGTTTTAATAGTTGGTTATTGAGGTTTATGAAAAATGACAAAGATTCGTCTTTGGATGACTTTGGAGAGGTTAGATTGAATAATGCAGTTTACGAAAAAGTACTCTGATGAATTCATACGAACCGAAAACTAAGTAGATATGAACTAGGATTTTTCAAAGGACACATAATGTACAATCTCTTGGCGGAAGAAAACTGTTTACCCTAGCAGAAGTTTGATTCAAGTGAGATAGATAAACAGAAATATAAAATGTACAGCTCAGAAAGTCAGTCATAGGGTGCGTACGTTGAAGGCTCCAATGTGTAGTTTGGAGAGAGGTTTCAGTAGACCTGGGACAGGGTTTTGCGCACTAGAATCGTTGGCTATGGTGACACTTGAGGAGGAAGCCGAAGGAGGAAGTTTAGGGTTGAAAGTCGATGTGGGAGGAATAATAGGAATTGAAGAGGAAGGTTGATTATGAATACAGTGGTCTTGGGTGCTGTTAGAGGTATGAGGGCGGTTATCACTTCCCGGTTGCCCACACCGTGGAAGGGTTGTTCTGGAGGTACCTGAAAAGGAAATCGGATTAGAGGCGGTCTCAGTGACCTGAGAGCGTGACCGCAGTGCCCAAGGGACAACTGCTTGAGGCCGGTCGCGCACGGCCTTTTCGTGAGAGGTTTGTGACGTGTTAGCTCCGTTCTTCAAAGGGCCTTACCGCCGGAGACGGAAATCCGTGGGGTAAGGTGAGGTGTGCATTTTTAGGATCGACCTTTTCTAACCCCACCCCTCCTTGTGGGAAGGCAGCATCGCTGTCATGCTGGTTGTCTGAAGGAAACACCTTACTGCTGTCACACCTCTGTACAGCCAGCAGTACGACTTCGCCTTCGGACCTTGGGTTTGTTGCTTTTAGTCTTATCGCTCTTCAACCGACTTGTCTGACATGGTAGGACCTTGAGGAACGGTTGTTCCAGCCAGTATAGGTCGGTTGCTTCATCACGATAGGCAAGCCCGACCACCACGTCAAGGTAGCAACAACGGTCGGGACAGCTCAGAAAGCGTCTGTATGTCCGCAATTTTACAAGCCACAGGCGTATTGAGATGTGATTAGTAGAAAAAGAAATTACACAACGAGTTTGAAACTGATCG